TTTTTTAAGAAAAAATATTTAAAAAAAATTTTTTTTAATTCTGATGATGATTTTATAAAAATTTTATAAACTTTTTTTTTTTAAATGATTTTATTGACTAGTATTTGTAATAAGAAAATATTGAAGAAGTCAACTTAGCTCAGTCTCATTAGCTTAATATAGTAATGCCATAAGTATTTGGATGAAAATTCTAGAAAAAGTTATGCAGTGCTTTTTAAAGAAATATTACATTTTTAATGTATAAATATATTAAAATGGCAATAAAATGCATTGAAATAGGTGTAATTTTTATGATCAAAATTAAATAAATTGAATTTTTAATCTTAGAACATAAAAATAGCCAAGACTCAGAAATGAGTCTTGGCTATTTTTAATTGACTTAATGATGAGTTAACATAGCAATAACCAATTACAAGTATATAGTAACATTATTTGCTTGTTATCAACTTACAAATCAGACTAATATACATACAAAAAATTTAAATTTACAAATATTTTTTTAAATATGAAATTTTTGGTAGTAAATTTTGATAAGAAGCAATACTTATCTTTGTAGAAAGTACTATAATCTTCAACTTTTCTGTTATGCTTAAAACTGACACCATATGTTTTTCTCTTTTTCTCTCCATTTTTTGGCTCTTTTTGATCTGTGAACACAGAGATGATCTTTTTTCCATGTCATTGTGGATTTAGCCAAATCCAGAATGGATGAGAGCTGTACCAAGTGATAAGGGATGGGAACTAACATTTCCAGAGCAAGATCATTCGTGAAAAATTTGTGGATTTTTTGACAGCTCAGATTCTACCTCGGTTCCCTAGAGCAGTAGGCTGATGCCTTAACCACCTTAGCCATCTGGCCAGCCACTGAAACTATATCCACATTTTTTTTTCAAATTAAACAACAGAAATCAGATACATGGTCTTTATAGTGAATGCATTAAGCATTTTTAAGTATTTCATGCAGAAATTTTCAAATAAAAATAAATGACTTTATTTACAAATAATGTGAGAAGAAGTTAGATAACTTTTGAAGTTATTCTCAATATAAGCAAAACAGGCAAGAAAAGAAAATCAACAAGCAATTATTTATTATGACATTGTCACAATGTACAGAAGTTTTATAGTGTCTTGCCCCTGTACATTATATTTTTCCTGTTAACGATGAAGTCATGCTGGTCATGTATATAACTCCGTTCAGAAAATTTTTTAATTGAAATAATGTGACTTCCAGCCCAAAATGGAAGTTTGTATGTAGTTAATTGGGGCCTAGTGCCTCAGCTTTCTATATCTGATTTTTCATCTATCTAACACTGTTCTTGAGAGACTGAGACAGACAGATGGTCAACAGTGGGAATTTATAAGTCTATAATTTTTTCAAATTGCAGCCCATTAAAACTGAAGCAAAAGAAGTATACTATCGAAATTATTACAAAAGTTGCTTCTAGCCCTTGGTTTAATTATATTAATTAAATTATCAACAGCTGTGAGGCAGATAATAGTGAGGGCTTATCACACCAATGATGGGCACAAATGCTCAGGAATCAAAGTGAAAATGTTTATTAAACACAAAATGACTGATAATTTAATTAATTTAAGTATAGTATCATCATTCAGTAAGTCAAGATGAGCAATTTAAATGTGACAATGATTCTAATATAAATGTTCTAATTTATTTTATATGAAATAAAAACGAAAACACCGAATAAATTATTATTCAATATGTATAACATATAACTAAACTAAACTAATTTATCAACTTTATATATTTGAAATGTATGATGATATAGATTAAATTGGGAAATATACTTACAGATTTGTTTAGTTTTTCTACTACCAACATCTGAAAATTACAAACACCAATCATTTAATCCAAAATATGTCTTGTTTTACAAAAATGCAAAGTTATATTTATTGGCCACTTACAATGACAGAAAAATCTGTGTGATTTTTTACTATCTACTGACAACAAAATCATGTATTGATACTGCCATTCAATACTTTCAGAATAGCTTTTATAGAGTTCTTGTTAAAGAGGTTTAAATTTAAAATGGTCGGTTACTGTCTGGTGGCCAATAATTATCATTTACCCATTTGTTATATTTTTGATAAGTCACTATTTCATTTATATAGGGGGGCGTGTCTAGCCTGCGGAGGTGTTGGTGACTTTTTTGCTGAGCTGTTGTGGCGACGTTAGACATGGAATTTTTACAACGGAATATTAAGTGTAGAACTGAAATAAGTTGTTTAAATGTTTCATTAACTCGAATAATAATTTTTATTCTACTAATGATTGCTGGCATTGAGTTAAATCCCGGACCTTTCCCTCGATCTCCTCCAATACCAAGTCAAGCAGTTATGCAAAAAAGGGGACGAGGGAGACCACGTAAAGAGCATACAAGAGATACAGAAGAAAATACTCAGACAAGTGAAATGTCAGGAGAGGAATACCAAATTGAGGAACATTCCAAGAATACTACTGATATCTNACCAATTTTTTTAATAATTTATTCAGTAAGGTTGATTAGTTTGAAGTAAATGAAACAATACTGTAGTGTCTGGTATTTTGACATTTTTTTTTAAATATATGCTTAAAAATATTTAATTCTATTTGGAGAGTAAACATTACTTGAAAAGATGTAAAATTTTATACTTTATGAAAATTTTAAACATAAGTTAAAAATTTACTTATAAATTTTTAACTTCAGTTTTGTGAATTTTGAAGGAAGGAAATGAAATCTGTTCTTAGTAATAATTGCAAGTTATGTATGATGGCATTCCAAAATTATTCTCTTAAATACAAATTAAAGTAAGAATTGTATTAATATTTAAACGAATAATTATATAAGCACAGTTTTTTTGTTAAAAAGTGAAAATTTTATTGAACAATTAAGCAATTAAATTCTACACTCTAAATTTGTTTAATTTAATGTACTTAAATGTATTTAAATTTAATTTTATTCATTTCATTCATTTTTAAAGTATCAATATATATTTGTTTAAAATAAAAATAACTTTTATTATATAATTATCATTGCTGTAATAACATAATTTATTATTATTATTAATTTTATATCTTATTAAATTACATTGTTGTTGTTCAAATCAAAAATACTGCCATCCATTTACAAAACATTATATTTATGAAAATATTTCAAAAATATTTTGCACTAATGAATAATATTTATAACTTTTTTCTAATATTTATTTTTTGTGTGTTTAAATAGAATGACTTTGAGTAAATGTACTGTACAATATATAGATTTTTTAAATTACCATAGATACTAGTACTGATTCTAAATTTATTGTTATTTAAATAAAATATTTATAAAAATCAGTGATACATTTTGCATTGAACATTTTAGAATTCTAGATTATCGCTTTCCTCTAGTGACAAATTATGTAGTAATTAATTAAATAAAACCATGGAAGAGTAGCCCAATTTAATCCAGCAGTTGTTTGGCTTTACAAATTTATTGGGTTTTGTGATGTTTATCTAGTTTATCTAATTTCTGAACAAATAATCAACTGTTACATAAAGAATTTAAAACAAACTGATAGAAATACAGTAGAACCTCGATTATCCGGACTAATTGGGGATGAAGGCAGTCCGGATATGGGAAAATCCGGATAATCGAAACAAATACTTTAATTTGTCTTTTAATGATAATACAACACGTTTTCTGTTCGATGACATATCGGTAATATTAAAAGCAAATGCTGTATTTAAATCGTGATCAAATTTTCAAGAAATCAAACGTTCGTATCGAATTTGGGATACTACTGACCAACACTAACAGACTATCTATTGTTTAAAAGGCCCTTTGGTGGCGCAAGAAGACGGATTTTATAAAATAAAAAGCAGTCGAAACTGCATTTTTATGAATAAAAATTTGACAAACTATTTATCGTTTTATGACGAGTAAATTTTTTTCGTCGCTTTCACGGCTTTTAAGTAATGCGTAAACCTTCNTTTTCTAATATTTATTTTTTGTGTGTTTAAATAGAATGACTTTGAGTAAATGTACTGTACAATATATAGATTTTTTAAATTACCATAGATACTAGTACTGATTCTAAATTTATTGTTATTTAAATAAAATATTTATAAAAATCAGTGATACATTTTGCATTGAACATTTTAGAATTCTAGATTATCGCTTTCCTCTAGTGACAAATTATGTAGTAATTAATTAAATAAAACCATGGAAGAGTAGCCCAATTTAATCCAGCAGTTGTTTGGCTTTACAAATTTATTGGGTTTTGTGATGTTTATCTAGTTTATCTAATTTCTGAACAAATAATCAACTGTTACATAAATAATTTAAAACAAACTGATAGAAATAGTTATTATTTATAATTTTTTTATAATTCCTGTAGTAAAGCACTATATTTTTATATAAGTTACAGTCTACAGATATGTTGATTATTATGTTATATTAATTTGTGTTAAGCTGTCTTAATTGAAAGTATTTGCAGGATTTTTATATTGGCTGTTCTTTTAAAGTTTTGATAATAAATATAAAAATAATTCTAATCCAATTTGATTATATTTCTAATTATATCAATTGACTTATAATACTGATGATAGTGATCTTGTAATGCAAAATTTTTAGTAAAACATTTTAAAGGAAATTTAACATTTTAAAACAAAAATATGATTAAATTCATATTAATTTATTTCATTTTTGTTGTTAAAGATCTAATATTATTGTTTTAAATAATTTAGTACAGAAATAGAATTTTGCATTAAATTTTAAATATATATATCTTTCACTTGTAACAGTGAACTTATTTAAATTCTTATAAGCATTACTGTATTGAAGTGTTTAAGTAACTTAAGTATTGATAATAGTAATTAATAAACAACATTATGATTTCTGAATTTTAAAAAAGATAAAACTTGAAAGTTTTTCTTAGAACATATGATTTCACTTTTAATCATAAACAGTAATTATCTACTTTCTTGAAATACTATAATTAATAGAAACTTCAATTTTTAGGTGTCATCATCAACAGTTGCAAAAGACACAGAAGAAAGAAGTGAACAACTTACAGAAAAAATTAATGATTTATTAGCTCAAGTATGTTGTTTAAATTTAATATTCAGTGAAACCTGGTATGATTTTCTTTGTTGTTATAAATGAAGCATTTCTGAAATTTATATTCCGTAAATTATTTTTTTTTGTCTATTACATTAGATAAAATTTATTGTAAATATATGTATTATATTTATATATGATGTAACATTTACTTGTGAAATCAATTGTTTATGTATGCATGCATACAATATATTATACAAGATTTTATAATATTATATAAGCTTTTCAGATTTTTTCTAATATATAATTTAAGTTTATTTAAGTATTTTGTTCTTCTATCTTACTGCTTTCAATATATTTTTTCTAATAATGTAAATCTACACTTCCATTAAAATTATTTTTTCTAAATGGGTATTGTTTGTATTGTGTACTCTTTTGGAAAATTGAAACTTTTTGAAAGTTCAATTGTCCAAAAGATAATTGGAATGAAAGTGATAAACTTGCTTGAGTGTAATATTTTCTCCAACATTAAAACAAAAATCAAATTTTTTTGTGTTGATTTTAGAGGAAAAAATTATTTGAAGTCTAATGCTAAAATTAGTGTCAATAGTGAAATGACAAGAAAAAGTTATTGAATATTTTTGTGTAAAATTTAAGTTACTTTTTGAGTAAACTTATATAATATTGTGCAGTAATTTTTCACTTGAATGTCAGAAATATCACAATTATCACAATTGAGAAACTGTATTTATCAACTAAACTTTAAATAATTTTTTACTTGCTAATTTTTAAAGTATTTTCAATTAATAAAATAAAAGGGAGTCTGGAAATGGGTGGAGCAGCCATCTCATGACAACATTAATTATTAGAATATTAGATTTTTTAAAGAATAATTTTGAAAATACCTAGAAAATTCACATGAAATAAAAACTTTATCTATAAACCAAATTTCAGTAACTAAAAATTAGTCCATGAAAATATCTCTGTTTTGGTTTCTAATGTAACATTTTTTCCTATTATTTTATAAATCAGCATTATTATTATTATATTAATTTTAATAATTATCATTATTATATTTATCTTTTGTCATAATTACTTTTGGTTGATGTTATGTGATTTTTGAGTGACTTATTTTATTTATTATATCATCATTGGAATAAATTAACAATCCTTTGATAAAACACCCAAAATTTTGATTTGTTTTTGACTCACTTATCCAAAGTGTTTTTTCATGCTATAACTTTGATTAGCATTTATTGGCTTTTATTTTTCTTATCTTTTTAAATCAATATATAAATTCAAAATAAAAGTTCAATAAAAGAAGAGAAATTTTATTGGAAAGAATCACTTTTTGCAAACTGCATTTTGTGTAAAAAGTCCCTTTAATTGATTTTACAAAAAACAAATCAAAAATAATTTTTTAACGACAAATTTTAAATAAATTTATACCATAGTAGTAAGCTAATTATTTAAAAAGTTTTAATCTTTTTATATTTTATTTTCTCATCTATGCTAATGCATATTTTCATGAAATATGAAGTCTGTTGGTTGTAGATTTTCTTATGTTTGGATAAGTATTTGCAAAATTATTGAAATTAATATTTATTTCCTAGCAAAAAATAAACCTTTATTTGTTGTTTCTATTTAGAAAGGAATAATTATTAATTTATCAATCAAAGAAAATGTTGACAGTTCAAATTTTATACAAAATAACATATCGAATTTTGAATGGTTTCCTAGTTTATATTTCTTAGCATAATAAACTTACAAATATATAGTATCTTCTTCTTGGTAGTAATGTTTTGATTAAGGCACTTCAGTTGAATATCAGAAACCACATGGAAGGAGTATGACAAGAATGCAAAAATACATTTCATATATTATCTAGACATAATAACAAAACAAAAACATAGGTGCATTTCACAATTCACATTTAGCTTGCTCATCCAAAAATGCAAATAGCAAAACTAGTGAAAAAGCAAGTGACCAAAATACTTCATCAAGTTGTACAAAACAGTCATAACCATTTCATTGGTCCTTCTTTTGCTAGTTACTAGTCCCAAACTTGATGCAACATGGAGTTTACAAGCTTTTCACAGATATCAACATGGAATTTTTGTCTGCAAGATTGCTGTCAAAGTCTCTGGATCAAGTTGGTACATTGGTACATTTACATTTATGCTGTGTTTGCAATTTGCATTTTTGGATGGCTTTTCTAACTGCATTCTGAAATGCATCTATGTTTTGGTTTCTTACTATGTCTGAATAATATATGAAATGTATTTCTGAATTCTGTTGTCATATTCTTTCTATGTGATTTCTGACATTTAAGAAAAGTACTCTGGTCAAAACATCGCTTCCGTGGGAAAGGTACTAATTAAAATTTTCTGTTACTAAGTTAGGTTTTAGAAAGATTATTAATATAAACAGTTCTTGATTCTCATATATATAAAAATACATGTATATTTATCTTAAAATTTCTCAATAAAAACAAATTAAATAAAATCTTTCATGTATTGCATAAACTTTTCAAATAATAATAAGTTTTTTCATTTCATTAAAAAGAGGTAATCACCTCTTTTCATATACTCAGTATTTCATCATTATTGCTTCCATGGAAACAGTTTATTTATTTTTTAAAAAATTTGAAATGGTACTTGATTTTTAAGAGATAAATCTCTTACATGTCTTTTTTAAAAATGGTAGCAGTAGTGATTGGTTCCATCTCTAAAAGATTGTACAGCTCAAAATTTGTTTTTGCAATTTTGTGATAACTGTGGTTTTTGTGCTCACAAAGGAGAGCTATTAGACCTCTAATAGTAAGCAAAAAGAATCTTGGCTTAATGACTCAGAGGGAAGAAGGATTGTACGAAAGCAGAAATATCACAGGGAGTCTGCTCATGGATGATAGCCTAGTGGAAAAGAACTGGGAGAAAAAGACGAGTATGTCATTTTTCACACAATTTGGCATCACAGATTAAACATCATGTCAAAGTTTGTCAACAACTTTTCTGCTTCCATCAAGAAGGACAATTTCTCAACCAAATCATCCCTTCTGATAAAAGTTGGGTCCATTATGACGATTGAGTCCAGGGGAATGAGATGGTAGATCCTACACTGAATCCAGACAGTCACAGCACAAAGTGGATGCTCTGTCTTCTATTCAATTCAAGATCTAGTTGATTGGGAGCTTCTTCCTCATAACAGGACCATAAATAGTGAGGTCTTTTGTTAATTTCTGGATATAGTAAGTAATTTTGTTCAGTCAGCAGATAGGACACAACAATGGAAAAGTGTTGTTCCAGTAGGATAATGTGCATTCTTGTGTTTCAAACATAAAACAAAATAAAATTACATGATTTCAGATGGGAAATGGTTATTATCAAAGAGATCAATATTTGAATTAATTTATAATCCAAATATTGATCTCTTGGACTAACACCTATTTTGTGTCCTAAAAATTTTCTTCAGAAAATATTTACTGCATATGAAGAGGACAGTTTTGCAGTGGAAGCATTTTTCTTCAAACAGAATACTGATTTCTTCAAGAGAGGAATTGAAATGGAGATAGATGCTGCTGAATAGATAGAGAAATGTGTTGAAAAATAATGGAGAATATCATAACATTAATGAAATCTCATATCATTGTTATATTGTAAAATGTTTCATTTTTGTTAACAAAAAAAAATGGCAAATACAATAAATCTGTTGTAACACAATATTATGTTCTGATATAATCTGAACTATGATTTTAGAATATGATAGAGTATTGATAACCATATCATATTTTGCTTGTAGCTGCTAAGTTTTTGAATATTTTAATGATTAATTATAATCAAAATAAATTTTAAAGGATTTTATGTTAATTTTACATGTACAGTTTTAAAATCATATTGAGGTTTCACTTTAATCATAATACTCAGCCTTTAATTATTAATTATATTCTTTAAACTACCTTTATTAGGTAGAACAGTTGGGTTGTGAAGGAAAAGTAGAAGAAGCACAAGGAATAATGAAACTTTGCGATCAGTTAAAAGAAGAAAGAGAAGCTTTACAAAAATCTTCAGAACCTAATCATTGGTTACAGGTAAGTTCTAATTTTTCTAAATTAGTTTGTTTTCTAAACATTTAAAAAATTTTTATTTTTGTAAAAATTAATGTAATAAAAATTCTATGACTATCTTCCAAATGAGTTTGCCCATAGATGGTTTTTCCTATGGGATCTGTAATTTGGTAGTTATATTAAATACTGGGAATAAATTTTAATAGTTACAAGGCTTAGATTAGTAAATATGTAAATTATTTCAATTTATTTAAAACAACCAACACTAGTCCAATATTTTGGAATTTCAATTTTGAACAACTAACAAAATGTTTATTCAGTAGATCATCAAGGTTTCTGAATTTATAGAAATTATACTTTTAAAAAGACAAAACACAATTTAATGTAATGTAATTAGTTTTTAAAATAATACTGATATCATCATCCATTTTCTCCACATCTTGTGTGCTGATTGAACGGCTGAATAATGGACTGCTTCTATCTTCTGATCGTAGCAACGTCATGCATCAAACGTTAAGGTGAGAAGGGGGAAATAGTTATTTGTGATTTTGGTTTATAATATATAATGATAACTTTGAAAAATTGGAAAAAATAATTCAATGGTCTAGTACAATAATACATTAAGTTTGTTTGTTTATTTTAAAATTTTATTAACAAATTTATTAATGTTATTAACATGAATTATTATAATTATTAATTTCTTTTATCTTTATGTAAAAATAGATTTTATTTGACAGGTATTTAGTTATGTTTGACATAAAATTGCTTATTTATGATAATGATTTTTAAATGTAATTGAATTTGTCTACTGAATGATCATTTGGTAATTAATAAGTGAACCAAAATCAAAACTTAACTCTTCTGATAATAATTAAAATAAGTTATTATGAAATGAATATTTAAAACTACCTTGTTACAATGCCATACTTATTGCTCTGAAGATCTCTTTTCTATATTTATTCATCCTTGAAATATGTATAATTAAAATTAACTGTGACTTCATACAAAAATTCCATTTTCTAATCTATTTGATAATTAAAGTATAATTATTATAACATTAATCATTACTAAACGTTATGTAATAGTCATTATATTGCAATTATAATTATCTTTAAAAACATATCAATCAGATAAATTGAAACAGTCATTTAAAAGTATTTAGTTTTCATGTTTATTGAAGGCAAAAGTGGAATATTCTTGATGTGCTTAAATTGATTGATTATATCTGGATTTAAGTCTGCTATTGCATCTTCAGTTTTGCATATTTTTTATTTATTATTTAAATTGTTTTGTTAGTATTAGTTAATAGTTTTATTAATTAAGTCAGAAATTAAAATATTGGTACAATGCAATAAAATTTGAGAGAAATAAAAATATTAAGTTTATATTTTAAAACTTGGCTAAAAGTTGTTGGACAAATAATGAATAATAGAATAGTTAATTTTTTTAATGTAAAATAAGATTTTCTATATTTAAAATTGCTGATATTTCTGAATAATGTATTTCACATTGGACCAGTCATAAAATTCATAAATATACAAATTTAATGCAGTTTTAATATTTTTAATGCACTTAAGAGTTAAGTTATTTTTTAGTTTTATCTGTTTTTATTATGAAATAAAGATGTAAATAACTAAAGATATTATTTGTTTTTTCTGGTTTAATTAAAATTCTGAATTATACTAATCTATTATTATTAATGTTCCTTTAAGTTTTCTATCATTATCAAGACAAAAGAAGCTTAAATCATTATATGTAAAAATTTTATTTTCTTTGACAAAATACTTAATTGATGCAACCGAAAAATTAAATAATAATAGAATTTAATTTTATGTTGTTAAAATTATTGTTATTTTAATGAAACTTGTTTTAGAATTAATAACTTAATTTGTTTTCTACAATGTACATGATTAAATGCCATTTTGTGTGATATTTTCTTATTTATTCTTTTGTGTCTGCAAGACTCAAATGTAACATTTATACTAAACTGTATTAATCTTATTTTTTTATTTTAATGAAATTTATTAAGATAAATAGAATTGTATTTTAATTAATTTTTATATATTAGCAGCATTTTTCAACTAAACAGTTTATATGAATTTTTCAACTAAAGGATTTATATGAATGTTTTTATGATACAAAATAAATTTAAAAAGTTCCTAAAGAAAATGAATATACTCAGCAATAATCTAATAATAATGGTAACAAATAGAAATGTAAAAGTAAAATAAAGGTTTTTCTTAAATGTTAATATTAAATAATAAATGTAAAGATATTACTAGGAAGTAATTGTTTGAATTATCATTATTGATGGCATAATTCTGAAATTTTCTGATAAAAATTCTTTTAATCTTGAATTTTATTACATTTTTTAAAGATTAACCTAATTAAAATAATTTATTAGGTTTTTATTACTATATTTTATTACTAATATTTTTTATTACTATATTTTCAACACTATATCTCGGTTTTCATTGATAATCCATCCGAAAACAATTGGCAGAATCTGAAACCGACGAGAACCGAGGCAATTATTTCCATATGAATTAATGTAAATCCAATTAATTTGTTCTGGACACTTCAAAATATATACCAAAAACACATTTTATAGAGAATAAATGTAGTGTTTAATACTAAAAACAAAAAGAAATTAATGTAAACTGAATATAAAAGACTAATGTAAAGAATAAGTGAACATTTAACATGGCATCTGTTTGACATCGTCAATTGTTTGTAATCTCTGTTTTGTTTTCACGTTCACTCCTTTTGCTACATTAGCCGCCTTTATTGCTTCCTTTATCATCATCATGAAACTTTTTGTATGTCGACTTTCTGTATATGTGGCTGATTTCAGCAATCTTAATGCCACTCTTGAATTTTTCAATGATTTCCTTCTTCAACTCGATCGTGTTTCTGGCCGTCTTCGAAGGGCTGCTGGCTCTGGAAACTTTCTTTGTTCTCATGATGGAGCTAAAAGGAAAGGAAAGCAATGGAATTGTTTGTCTAGATGTACAGGGTAATGATCATACATTATTTTTTTCATTCATTTTTTCATTTTTATTTTATTTACAACTTGTTGGAGTACAACAAATCCGGTGCCATATACATATAGCCAGGTGAAAAGTGGAGTTGATGGTTACATAATAACAATACATTTAGTAGGATAAAATACATAATAAGGGAATAGGGAAAAAATAAGAAAATATAAAAGTATAAAGGTATGAAATATGAGACAATAAAATTAATGGGTACATAGCAGTAAGAAGAATTATACATACATATAATTTGTACAAAATGTACATATAGATAATTACATATCATTACAGTGATGCAAAAATAAGTGATATAAGATGCTAAGGTTAGTAATACAGTTATAAAAATACATAATATCAGGATGATGTGCAATAAAGGCACAGAACACAGTAAGTGAGGTTTCAGTTGAAAGCAGCAACAGTAGTCCTTTTAAAGTACATGTCAATGAGGTGAAGTAGTGCAGCATAGGTGTCACTATTGTTCATAATTCCGTGGAGGTTTTCAGGCCAGTGATAACCATGTGTCTCCATGGAGGTGCGAAGAAGGTGTCTCTCAAGCTCAAGCATTGGGCAGGTGAGTAGATAGTGAAGGCAGCCGTCTTCGACATCGCAAAGGGAACAGCTGAAGGTTGGAGAGTTAACAAATCTAGCCAGGTAGGAATAGAAGCGTCCGTGATTGGTAAGAAATTGGCTGGTACGTTGGGTCGGTCTATACCAGGGGATAGCAAGGAAGGTCTTGATGTTAGGAATGAGTTGATGGGTGATGGGATGATTTTGTCTGTCCCAGTCCTCCTGCCAAAGATCGAGGAGGTCGTTGCGAATGATGTTTTTTATAGTTTTAATATTGATCTTGCTGTAGACAATTGGAAGGTTGTTGTCTTCACAGGCGCTCTTTGCGAGTTCATCGGCCCTCTCGTTACCGAGAGTGCCCTGGTGGGCACGAGTCCAGTAGATGGAGTAAATGTTGCTGGATTTGTTGATGTCACTATGGATGCTGGTGGAGATGGGGTGGTCACAATGGTTTTTTAAGGCTGCAATAGAGGACTCGCTGTCGGTGATGATAGTAACAGTCTGGGAATCATAGTTCGAGGCAGTCCAAGCCACGGCCATGCTTATCGCGTACATTTCCGCCTGAAAGACGGTACAGTCTGCACCAAGTCTGTACCGCTCAGACGCAATTTCGGTGTTGTTTAGGTAGGCGACAAAACCGCTACCAACATTATTGTTACATTTAGACCCATCAGTATAGACTGTTAAATCGGTATGCTCAGGCTGGAAGAAGTTTAATTTATTAGGGATAGCAGGGTGATTGGAACGAGAGAAGTGGATGGCGCACTCGAGGTCGTGATGGTTAATTTCCTGTGTAGCTGTATGGATAGTGCTGCCCCATTTAAGATGCCAAACTTTAGTTTGTAGGGAGATATGTTTGTCAATGGGCATTTTTCTTGCCAGGACTTGAAGAGAGGAGTTGGGTGTCGTTCTATAGGCCCTCGTAATGTGCAAGAGGGCTTTGCGTTGTGCGGCGATGAGTTTTCTTTTAATGTGAACCCTGCAGGTAGACCATCCCCAGCTGCCACAGGCATAGGTAATTATGGGGACAAAGATTTGGTTGTAAATGGCATCCATGGCCTCAGAGGCCAGGCCCCAGCGTCTACGAGCAATGCCAGCAAAGGTGTTGAAGATGTGTCCTGTGCGCTCGGTGATGTATTCAACGTGAGCATTCCACAGCAGCCTGTGGTCGAGTACAATGCCCAGGTACTTGATGGTCTTTTCAACGGCAATGGTTTGTCCCCCCATTTTAATGGTGGGGACTCTAAGGTAAAGATTCTGCTGGCCAGGTCTATTAAAAACGACACATTTAGTTTTTTGTGCGTTAAAAACGAGCTTGTGGTTTCTTCCCCAGTTTAAGATCTTATCAAGTATGGCGTTGCCGTCTTTTTCAATGGCTGCACGAGAGCGGCTCCCAAGGAGCAGAAAAACATCATCGGCGTAGGCCACTATATCATGGTGCCCAAAGTCTTGCTGGAGAAAATCGTTGAAGTAAATGTTCCAGAGTGTTGGTCCACAGACCGAGCCCTGAGGGCAGCCACGGACAACAGAGCGGTGGATAGTGTGACCTCCACATTGTAGAAAGGCGGTTCTGTCCCTAAGGTAGTCCCGTATGAGATAGTAAAGGTTAGCTGGGCACTTAATCTTACGAAGTTGATGGAGAAGAAGCGGCCACCAGGCACTGTCAAACGCTTTAGCGATGTCAAGACTGATGGCCAAGACATATTTGTTATTTTGGAGGAGGTGGTCAATGTTGTCAATAACCCTATGGATGGCATCAGAAGAGGATTTCTGTGGACGGAAGCCGAATTGCGAGTTGTGCAGTATGGAGTTGTTTTCCAGGTACCAAACAAGCCTATTGTTAAGAAGCCGTTCCAGGACCTTGCCAAGAACCGGCAGGAGGGAAATCGGTCTGCTTTCATTAGTGCGTCCAGGTT